AGCTACCCACCTGAACTATATAAAATAAAGTTTATTATTATGATTATTATTATACGCACAGGAAACAGCAAGGTGTAGCCTTATACAGTACCACATAGAGTGCACGGAAAAAGTTTTTAGCTTTTTTCTTTGTTTCTCCTGCATGATTCTTGAAATACAACCCAAGGTAATGATTAAAATAATAGAACACTAGACTAAAGAAGCTTCCATGCTCCACAGAATGTTGATTAACCAGTGTTTTGGCATCTGAGTGAACACTACACTGATGGTGATTCCTCATTTAGTGAGGCACTTCGACATCAGTAAGACTGGACCAGGAAACTCTTCACGTCTTCTGGTCCAGACGAGAACCATTAATGAAAAAAATACTTAACTGAATAATTAGAGTTACTTAGCACAGCACATACAATACAGAAAAAAACAAAAAGGCATTAAACAGGGAAGTACTGATTATTTGGAACTACATGGCAAGACTAATAAATCAGATAAACCACAAAGTATTCACGTTGCTCAGTTCTGCCAGAGACAGAAACAGTAAATGATTAATACTTCAAGACTGTCTCTTCTTCAAGAAAAGGGATTCTTTCTGTCCAGTTTGTTTTAATAAACAATAAGTGTATTACAAAAATGACAGTTCGTACAAAAATAGAGAGGAAATAAATTGTTTTATGTTAGACTATCACAGCAGATCATAAAGGCCAAATGTGTGAAACAGACTAACTGTAATTCCCAGCCTTCACAAAGCCTAGATCTCTACAACAATATACTTTAATCATTCTAATTAATCAAACTTTGATGAGCATGGATGGTTTTGTACAGTACTTCATACTAAACACTCATGATTCTGTGGAATTTGGGACAAAGCATCAAAATTTCAAAAGCTTATAGGACACAACTACACATACCTTATATTTCACAGAGATATAAATACATTCAGAAGATATATCTATTTTACATACAGTACTTAAAAACAGCACATGGGCTACATAACATTAATTTTACATCTTGCAGTGATCAGTTGTCTAATATTTGTATGCTGAGTATAAATTCAGAGGCTGGGTAGTCCTCTTGTGAGAGGCATTATAATTGATGACCTAATTCATTACACACTTCATTTTACATGCATCTGATTTTTAAGAATGATTTGAAAAAAGTAAGTGAGAGGTAAAGAAGACAAAAAATGGAGTGAAAACAGGTGGTATTTCTCTGACGCGCATGTTGTTAAAAACATGGAGCTGTAAATTAGAGCTTAACTTCAAAGCCTTTTTTAAAAAAACACCTGCAATCTAAGCACTTTGGTCAAAATCAACTCTTTTTGTATATCAGAGTTTAAAAAAGATACCACAGACTCAAATCAAAACACTCACAAAGGTTTTCTTTTCCCTCAGTGCAGAGTAGATGAAAATTGCTATACTACAGTTTAGATTCACACAGCATATTTCAGAAGAATAAATAACTAGGGCTCAATCTGTCATCCCTGGTATTGAAGGTATCAAGATTATTTAACATCTTTGAAGAATAACATGCTCTTTCTAAGGCAAGGTGTTCTCCATGTGGCACAGCTATTTCTTGAAGCTTCTTCTGTGGATGTATCAAGGCATCCAAGGACTGGTTATATACAGTAGATTTAAATGTATTATTTATGATTGTTTTATTGCTTTACAATATATGCAAAATCTTTGTACGGCTATGTTTGAAAAAAACAAATATGTTAAGGCTTTTATTAGTTTATCAGAGCTCAGTAATGGCTTGTTTTTTATTTGCTTGCCCATTTGTAACCTTAAATTGGCCAGAAATGGGGCTATACCATGAATACTAGATAAAACCTCATGGCCTGTGGCTGTTTAACTTGCTAGCTACTGTACAGTATGTGCATGATGGTCAGTATTGGTCCCATGACTATTTCCATTTTTGCTTGCAGTGAAAAAGAGGTTTTTGGCTGTACATCACAAGGTCTGCTTGAGAAGTGCATCTCTGCTTAAGTCAGGTCAGCAAGAGAGGCATGATAGAGTAAGATCACTTTACACATGACAGCGTACATCATCACAAATCATATAACAAAGTACAATCCTGACATGTTACCCAGTTTCACCGGTCAGCAGGTGAGTGGAAAAATTATACAATGTACTGTAATGCAACCATTCCAGCATAACTTATTGAAGTACTGTAGGTTATAAAACATAAGGAGTCTATGTTCTTCTCCCAAACATACAGTAGAATGACAAATCTACTGCCAGATTTCTAAAGAAAAAATAATAAAAACTAGAAATCAAACATATTTTCCCCATTACAAATGAAATGGCCAAGCAGTCCATCCATTCTTAAATGTCTGTATCCAATACAGGGTCGCAGGGGAGCCGAGGCCTGTCCCAGCAAGCAACGGGCACAAGGCAGGATACACCCTGGAAGGGACGCCAGTCCATCACAGGACAGACACAGACAGAGTGATGCACACATTCTGGCCAGATATATTAATATCATCTTGTGTGTGACATGCCAAATTATACTGTAAATGTGTGTCCTCCACTTAAACTACAGTAAAAGAAATCACAAATGTTGTTCAGACCATCAATCTGCATAGCTTTTATTCGGTTCTGCACCACACAAGCCCTAGTTGTGCGAAGTATGCTGCAAGTAAGGAGACTCAACTCAGAAGCCAAAGTGATTCAATGTTAGACCATTTATACAAATTCCTCTAGAGGCTTACTGTACATGCATGTTGTTCTATTGCATCCTGACTTGAAATAGTCGAGGAAATAGCACAATGGTATAGTGGATACTCAGATGATCTCTGCGATACATACAGTGCCTCTGTGGCTTTTTTCATCTGCATTCACACAGTATGACCAAGATGTATGCCTATAGCTTTCTACTGTGTAATGCAAGTATAGACGAACCATGACATATTACATAAACCAAGACAAACTACAGTGTGCATGGCATCTCACACCTCAAAAGATGGATGAGAAAGAGAAAAACATCATCCATGCTCCACAGGTTTTGTCGGTATTGATTACCGTATACAGTACTTTGAAATTTACTTTGACATTCATGCAGCATCATCTTAGGTGTTTTGTTATTGATACCTTTGTATCAAACAATACCCTTACATACAGTAAAAAAAAAAAGTTTATGATCAACACAAAGTTAAAATATAACAAAACAATCAAATAAGTATACTGTATCATGAGCTCCAGTAATTTAACACTCATTCAAGATTAAAGCCAAGTCAAAATCACGAACTGCGAGTCCACAGTATGGCAAGACAGTATGTGGCATTATGTAAGGTATATATACTGTATACTGTATTAAAGCGCGTATTATTATTTAAACAAAAGTTGTTTCTGGAGCTTTGTAGCCCATGTGTGTCGCATCGCACAGCGGGTTTCCAAACCTGGATCACTGTAACTTCACACTAGGGGAAAACTACAGAAATGTTGCTATTTACGGGTTTGGGTGGATTGTCCTAATTCAATCAGAGCAGCAATAGTCTCAATCTTCCCAGTTAATGGTTCCAATTATTAATCAATTAAGAGCGAAAAGCGCAGAACCATTCTCGTAAATTAGTAGGTCTTAAACTTTGCCGCCCCGTTATCTCCAACTAAATAAAAACTCGCCCTCCCACGTGCAGCGAGGAAGATGTGACTTGCGTGTCCTTGAATTGAGCACCTGCATTCATATTCTCAAATAGTCTTCTTCAGTGCACATGGCGTAATAAGTAAACACATTCAATGTGTTGCTAATAATAGCTACTACAAATGCCTGAATACACAGGCGTTCTCCAAACTGCAATCTTTCCAAATGTCACGGCAAATCGGCTAAATAGTTGCCACTTGTTGCAGTTAGGGGGAAAAAACTCTTCAGATCGACGAGGCGAAAGAAATTACAGTACCTTTTCACACTTAATTGCGTACACAGAGACGACATTGCAAAACGCAAAAGGGGATTAACGAAACGTTCATCGAAATTGAACTTTAATAGAAAAAAAATGTCGAGAAGTAATTGGAAGGCCAACGTTATAAGGAATAAATCGAGGCAAGTATCTGCTTTATCTGCCTCCAACTCCCGCTTACATTGCCTAAATTCTAAAGTTTCTTTCTTACCAGTTCTGGTCCTGATCAATCCACTGAACTCATCCTCGACCGGCTCTTCTGGACGTCCAGCTTCAGCCATGACAAACTTCTGATTTTACAATATTCCTGTGCGAACCCTCTGAAACTAAACGGAGACAGCGAGGAGAACCCCAGATCCAAGCACAGAAACTGCAGGCAGTCGAAACTGGAGCTCGGCTCAGTGCCTAAAATGCAACACGCCCGGAGCTCGGAAGCTCAGAAGCAAAAAGAGGACGAGACTGACTGACAGTCGAGCAGGAAAAGAAGCTGTCAAAGGATCCAGATTAAGAGGAACAGGTGCCGATCCATCCTCGCCTCAAAATAGAGCAGTGAGCACGGGTGTAGACAAGCACGCCACAGCTGGGGACAAATTCAGATTCTGACACCCCAATCCATTTCCGAACTTCAAAAAAACTTTGTAAGTGTGGGGGATCCAGGCTCAGCTACCTACCAAATCCTACACGAACAGGGCAAGCGATTTTGGACGTGAGCAATTACTGTACATTTGGCTGTGCGTCTGGCAGTTTGGCTTTACGAGACTGGTTTAGGACGGGTTAATGCGTCTCTCAATGAAAAGCGTGGAATCATTCAGTCTAATGTGCACTGTACGAATTTAACACTGAAGTATTATGCAGAAGTATTACAATTATTTACATTTAAAGCTCCCGGTTTCTCTGTCTACTACCCTGCTTTTACCTACCACTTATCCTACGAAACATTGGAGCGGTCTATTAGGAAAGGGGAGCTCGGTTCCAACAAATATCACAGGCTGCACAGTAGCGCTCGTGTTTCTGTGGTGTGATAAGCAAGAGACATGTCGAGAAACTCTAATAACAACAGCCTGATTTTAATCGACATTCCCGCCGATGCAAACAAATGGCAACAGATCACAAAGGAGGCCATATATTTTTGAAGTCAACTCAGCAAATATTGTACATTAGTCGTGACAGATGCAAGGTTCCAAAACCCCGGTCGTTTTTAAGGACATTATCACTCACAATATTTCCTTTCTTCTGAAGAAATCGTTTAAACAAAACGACGATGGCATATTAAAACATCGACAGAAAGGAAATGTACTGTAGGTGGATATTTAATAACAAAGAGACAGTCAGTCTTACTGTTACTCAGCCCATCAAAAGCCAATAACTTTTCCTTTCACACTCGAGCCACGTGGTTGTCGTCACCTGATTTTAATGACGTCACGCCCCAAGAGCTTCATGTCGCGTCTCTGCGAGGGCTGTGGTGTGGGACTCACAGGTGATATCCTAGGAGAGTTTACCCACTGAAGGTGGAGGTTTGTTCAAACATTACAGTCCCAGAGGGGGCGCCAAAGCTGGGAAATCTGCTGAATTTATTAAGCTAACACAAGACAACTAGGCTGTATAACCGTACGAGAGTTTCGTAGCTTAAAATATTTGTTAGTCCTGTAACTGTTATATAAGCATATCATGTAGTTAAATTCATAATAATAAAAATACTCTAACATTCAACATTCAGATATTCATTAATTATATGCGGCTAAAGCACAAACTAAACATCAAACTAGTCTTTCATTAAGCACCTCAAGGCAACTCAAGGCAAAACTTGAGTTGGCAAAACTCTTGCCAACTCAAGGCAAAACACCCAAGTACCTGATAACCAGTATGCCTTTTTTGTTTTTACAGTCAAATGTATGAAGCATCAGGCATTAGTTAGCAATCATTTCAAAAGTCTTTGAGTTTCCTCTCCTTGGCAAAGGAAATAAATGGTAATAAGATCAGCTGGCTTCACTTGAATATCCTCTGCTCGATGCAGATCTCGCTCCATTTCAAAGCCTGGTTTGAGAGACAGGAGAGTTCGGAGTGTTGCTCTCTGCTCTCCACAAGAATGTCAGTTTTCCACCACCCGCTACACAGAACAAGGGATTTCTCTGTAGTCTTAAAACTGAGGTTAAAATGCAGTTCATATCTCTAGAAGATTCCAAAAAGGAAAGCAGGAGATGTCACAAAGCAACTAGTATAGCCAAGGGAATTTTCACATACAGTAATCAATGGACTTTCTCTTTGTTTATTGCTGAAAACTGTTCACTTAGTTCTGTGTTGCAATAGTATACTGTAATATACTGTATAGCAAAGATCTGCTCAAATACCTTTGTATTGTAATAAAACTAATGAGAAAACCTTTCCCCTCCAACAACATTGGTAATGTTCTTAATCACACTGAATGGCTGTGTGCATGTGTGAGCCAAACGCCAGCTGCACTCTGTGTCACTTGGAAAAATACAGTATCTGCATTCAGCACCACCCATGAACACTTTTTTTATGAGGGTCCCGTCATTCTTTTTTACAGCTGATGCTGTGTTTTATTTCCACTAACTGCGTTAACCTTATTTACAGCAAAACAAAATTAAGTCCTGGCGTTATCAACAGGCTTAAATAACAAGTTTGTTTCCTACTCACTGGTTTTCATTGTGCAAAGAACACATTTCAATTACATCCATAAGTAGCATCTGTTGAATATGTTGCTGCAAATATATCTGAATTTAAATTGCAGTTTTATTAAGGCAACGGCAGGATAAGATATGACTAATAGTTTCTTGGAAGCATGTTTAAAAAATGAATGTCAGGTTTTACAAGTATACTTGATCTTCCTTTCTTGTAAGACTGGAAACTTCCTCAATTATGTTTAGTTGGTTAAGGTTTTTTGCCAGGTCACAACCTTCTGTGTGTTCTTTTTTCCTTATTTATGCTTTGCCTTTTGCTTGTGGGCAATGGATGTTGAAAAAAACAAAGGTGGGTCACCAAAGCTTCGACTCCATAAACTATTTTTGGTATGACTTCATAAACCTGTTCTGGCTCAGTGGTCTTTACTTCTTTCCCTGCGATTCCTAATGTGGCACCACATAATGTTTCTTTAGCAATAAGAATTGAATTTATAACTATTGTTATTATTGGGGGGGGGGGGGGGGGGTACTAAATGGCGAAGTGATTTCTCCAGAATATAGCCCAGCAGCTGAATTCTTTATTCTCTGGGACAGCTTTGGTGAGATTAGTAATACTCCAGGTACGCATGGTTAAACAAACATGTATTACTATGATAATAATAATTATCATTAATAATAATAATTGCTTATACATATATAGCACTTTTCTGGACACTCCACTCAAAGCTGTTTACAGGTAATGGGGACTCCCCTCCACCAGTGTGCAGCCCCACCTGGATGATGTGACAGCAGAACTGCATGAAAGTAAACAAACAACATGGAGAACAAGCATGTAAACATCTTGAAAAATGCGCAAGTTTCAAGTTCCATCACCTCTCTTCTTGTCCTCTCCTGTCTCCTTGTCCTACCCCTTTCTTCTCATCTCTCTGTGCTCTTAATGTGGTCTTATATTGTGTGTTTATGCACTCTTTATTGCCAGTCATTAACCCACAACTTACCTACTGTAGGTATACCAAGGTAAACTTTACAATGGTTTCTGATCAAGGGACCACCACATCTCAGCAAACATCCTCTCTCCTAGAGGATGAAGGTTGAAGTGTTTACTCTGCCAAGCGTCATAAACTTTATCTAAATTCTAAGAGACACTTCTCAGTCACCTAAAGCTATAACACTATCAATCTCTAGATTATTGATAAAACCCAATAATATACAGTAATACATGAGATCTTGGTGTAAGTATAAGTAGTGTTTAAACCTACTGTAAATATTATCACTGGCCTAGAGAGTTCAGGAATATTGTGCAGGCATCTGAAACAGTACATGAGCTGTGGTCAATACTGTAATAATACCTTTGACTGCAAAATTAGTGTTACTTAATCACATCAACCTAGTGACATTACAGTATTTTTTTACCTGTGCCCATTTTGTCTTTTAATGAAATGTTCATATTATCTATCCTAGAGGAAGTATTTTTCCCTGTCATTTAGCTGGACAGATGCATCATTCACCCCTGGGCCATGGCATTGATTATGGCCTCTAAATCTGAGCTTTATTTGGTAAGGAGTTTTTCTGGATTTGCTCTCTTTACCACATGAGTATTAAATAACAAGGCTCTGATTCTCTATGAGTTTAGTATTGATCATTAAGTGATTCTTTTCCTACTGAAACTTGGCACCTACCAAATGATTCTCTATTGCTGAATGAGGTTAGGTCCCCAGCATTTTGCTATGTGGAAAAATTTCACAACTCTGGTCAGGGTGGAGGTCCAGCAGTGATTCAACATGTACTGTAAGTGATTTACTCAGCATGTTAACTTCCCAACACAACCATGGCTACATATTAGACTTTGATAATTTTGTTGTGGGCATTTCTAACCTAGTAGTGTTTCTGACCACACGCCTGTCTTACTTGACCTGGCAGTCCTCATACCTCTTACTAATTAAAATGACAATGACCTCTCATAGAGTGAATTTAGTGAATCCAACCTGTCTGGTGCAGGAGATCGCAACACCTCCAGTTATTGTAACTGACATTTAGTTGGGGATTCTGTTGCTTTTTATAATGAGACACTAACACAAATTATTCATAGTCTATCTCCCAGTAAAACTTGGCTCCTCTCATTCGCTCATTCTTCCTCCGGTAGGCAAATGAGCTGTGTTCTATGGAGGCAGCAGGATGACGTCTTGAACATTTGTGGAGGAAGATGAGTCTGACTGTTCGTTTACAGGCTTTATGAACTGCATCAGCTGTCCTACAGGAATATTCTTAACACTGCCAGATTCTCCTCATATTCCAGTCTTATGAAGCAAATGTTGTAGTTTTCCTTCAGTCCTTTTTCCACCACCAATGAAACATTCAGAATAGTTTATATGTCTGTTTTTGTCTCTACAGAGCAACACGTGCTCATGCAATATTCTGACAATACAAAACACAAAATGTATAATCAGCTGCTGACCTCACCTTCTGCAGTCATGTCATCTACACCCACTCCTGCTCTTACTGATTCAGGCTTCTCTCCTTTTACTGCTGTGGTTGCTACTTACTGTACGTGACTATGTCAGTCGCTAAAATGAGAAAACCAGTAAACAGTATTTTGGACACCATTCTTGGATCTCTATTCAAATCTAGTTTCTCTGCTTTTTGTCCATTTGTTACTCCTCCAATGAGTCCTTGAAATTTCATTTTTTGTACCTAGGCTTAAAATCTGCTGCTACCACAGCTGTCTTACAATTGTCTGGACCCTGAAGTGCTTAGAAACTACTCTCCTATTTCCAGTTTGCCCTTTCTTGCAAAAAAAGGGAAAGAGGAGTTGCAGCTCAATTATAATGTTATCTTCTGTCTAATGAGCTATAAGAGTCTTTCTAGCCAGGGTTTAGACAACGACAAGGTGCTGAAACAGCCCTTGTTAGGGTAATTAATGACTTGCTGATGGGTTTTTTTACTCTTTGTCACTTATTTTCTCCTCTTTCCGGATTTAAGTGCAACTTTTGATAATTATGGATAATTATTTAGGGAGTACAGATACTTCCCATCAGGGATTCAGTTTCAGTTTGAACTGACGAGTCAGTTAACAGATCTTGACCATTTTAAATCTCATGCTCTCCCTGTTACTCGTGGTTTTTCAAAGAGTTGTGCTCCTAACCTTTACGACCTTTACTTCTGAATATATATTTTCATATTTTATATACAGTATACCGAACATGCTGCCTCTTACTCACATTATTTGCCATCAGGGACTTACAGGTCTCCCTTGTTAAGATGCCACTCAATTTTACTTTCAGAATAAATCACATAATACAGTACTACTGCTGCAGTTTTTGCACTTTACAGCTGCCTGCCTGATATTAAGATATGGATACTATATATTTTATCTTTCTTAATCTAAACTGTGATAAGACTTCTGTCATGCGTATTGCCTTTCACAGCTATACAACTGTGATGTTTTCTGTGTTGTAGTTGTTGATTGAATTAAACCCCTAAATAAAGTAAGAATCCCTGGTGTTATTTTTGAGCCAGCATTGCCATTTGAAGCTCATGGTAGAAATGTCAGAAGGGTATCCATTTTTATCTGTGTAACATGGTCTGGCTAAGGTCCTACAGTACGTCTCTCTGGTTGATGCTTAAAATTGATTTGTGCTTTTACTTCATCAAGATGTAATGTACTGTAATGTCTTATTGACTGGGATATCAACTAAGGCAATAAACAGGCTTCAGGATGTCAGGGTTTCTGTGGCACATGTGCTGACTAAAAGTATTTTGTCTCAGTATCAACTCTCTGTGCAATTTTAAGTGGATTTTAAGGTTGTCTGACACTCAGAAATCAAACCCCAGGTTACCTTGAGGAATTATCACGTAAATACAGTATAATCTGTGGTCTTCTTATTCAACCTCAGACTAGGCTCTGCTCTGTGTTTTATGCTGTTCCTCCTGTGTGCATTTTCATGATTGTGAAGCTCCTTGCCCAGATCCATTAGGAACTCTGTGACAGTGGACATTTATAAACTAGCTTAAAGACCTGTTGTTTCACTATAACTTTTTATTATAACATTTTATCCTACTCATGGATTTACTTGGTCCATTTGGTGTTATTTATTTTCTGTTACTGTACTTCTGTACTACTGTACTTCTACTTCTGTTCTGCATGTACTGTTGTGCAATGCATTAAGTTTATAGAAAAGCATTTACAAATGCAGTCTGTTGTTAATGAAAAACATCTATTACAATGAGTATAATGTTGAATACAGTAGTTTTGTGTAGGTAGGCTGTAAAGCCAGAAAATGTCTCTGGCCTTGCACAAGAGGTATTTCCTGGCTTCACCCCTTGAGAGGGCAAAGCGGTTCAGATTCCATTGGACAGTGTCAGAATGTGAAACACTAGTAAGCATTTTAAGGCTATCACTTTTAGTACATATATTTTTAACAATTTTAAGATTACTTTGTTCTGACTTTAACTCATTCGAGTCAGCTGCTAAGAAAAGTGTAAAGTTTAAAGTTGAATTAGGCATTTAAGAGTGGACTTGACCACTAATTGGTTTTTGAAGTCTGCTTCAGGATTTCGTAAAAAGAAAGAGAAAGAAATCATATGATTCTGTTACTGTGGAAAGGCATCCTTCTAACAGGGTTCACTGAGGTCCCTGTACAACTAACTGGCTTTAAGTTACAATGCCTGAAGTACGGTGGAAAGATAATTAAGTGTGAAGAATAATATTGTTCCTTATGTTGTATATATTTGACAATGTTCTTCAATATTTGCTGAACACTCATTCACTATAGCAAGTGACATTAAAAGTTTCCATTGTTAAATTTGTCATTTTAGTTATTGTGCATCTCAAACCAACATTTTCCAGTCAACTGTTCTTTTAGCAATGAAATATTTCTGTTCCACAAGGTGACACCAGGAAAGCCAGAGACTGTTTACCTGTCTCAGGCAAACCTGACCATTGAGAGCCAAGCTGCAGGGTTTTGAGGTTTTTGTTTCAATTAGCACCTGATAAAGACCTGTGAAACACAGCAAAGTTGTCTTCCTCTCAACTTAATTGGTTCAACGAACTCATTAAGGTCTGATAAGGACCAGGGTATCTTTTTCCTACTATAGATGCTGTACAACTGGACATCACCACCAAAAGCCTGGTCACAAGTTTGAGACTCCCAAAACCAAATGGAAAAAAAATGTCAATTTAGGATTGCAGCAGTGTGATGATGAATGTCCTGCCTAACATGGATGTGCTTCAGTGTCTTGTGCTGTATGTCACAGGTAAGATTAATTTTCTGCCTGAAAATTGTTGTGCTTGATGTCTGTATATCACAAGAGTAATCGAACCATCTTGAAGGACCCCCAGGAAAAGACATCACGATCGATAAGAATGAATCACTTTAAATCTCTGTAACTGGTAGGCAACCATCTAGGCTACTTTTTTCATTGTTTCCTGAAGAGATCTATCCCTTTCCCCGCCAGTCAACAGCCACGGACAATGTTGACTTATAATGTTGACATATCAAGAACTGCTTTCAGGCTGTGACAATGGTCTCAGACAATATCTCAACAGATGAGTTCACTTTATGAAAGCTTATATGCTCAAAGAAAGGAGAAGCACATACAGTAGTCTTTGCTATACAGTATATTATGAGCATAACATACCCTCCTGAAAAATGAATATAAACTTTTTTATTAAAGAAAATCCTTCTAATTAATAAAAGTCATTTTAAAATTACTTTTAAAAGAAGTTGCATGTTTATTTTTTTCTGTCAACAGCAATTTTAAATGGCAGATCTTTGCACAGTCGTTATTCATTAATCCCTTGTTTAAATATGAACACACTGCTGGAGTCTGTCTTATGTCAAGGTTAATAAAAAGTAAGTTGATAACAAATAAATATCTTCATTCTGCATCTGTGAACTTGGACTCATAGATCTGGTCCTGAGCTTCCCTTCTGAGGATACATTTTGTTAAAACAGCCCACAGGCCAAAGATAAAGTGTGTCTGTCAGTTGCCAGAAGACTTGATTCGTATTTCTGTTGTCTGTGCAAAAAGATTCCTTTGCCCATGGATCAGCATAGCCAAGATCATGCCTGTATGCTCACAAGCTTTTTAACTCCTTTTGAATGCAAGGACATCTGTAAGGGGTGGTGCGGTGGCTCTGTGGCTGGAAGGTTGCTGGTTCGAATCCCGCTGCCAGCAGAGGAATCCTATTCCATTGGTCCCCTGACCAAGGCCCTTAACCCCAGCTGCTCCAGGGGTGTTGTATCAATGGCTGACCCTGCGCTCTGACCCCCAGCTTCTCTCCCTGTCTGGGTGTCTCATGGAGAGCAAGCTGGGGTCTGCAAAAAGACAAATTCCTAAAACAAGAAATTGTCTATGTCTAATGAAGTGCTCTTATCTTAAATACAACAGGACAATTTTATGATGTTACTCTGCCACTAATTACATGTCGGCTCCCAACAGTTTCTTATTTCTAATGAGGGCAAATACAGATGCGAATGCAAATATGAAGAGAATACAGATGCAGAAAACTCAAAAGAAACAAAGATACGGCACATTAAAAAAAAAAAGTTCAGGAATATGTTTTCCAAGATTCAGATTTGGACAGATTTAAGGACTGATCCAGTTGCAAGCTTATTTTCTAAATAAATAAAAAAAAACACTAAAATGTATCAAGAATGGGGTCTTACCAAGAAAAGACCAGAGTGACAAGTACAGAGCACACGGTATCCAAACTAGTACTAGTACTGTAAATCCAGTATGAATTAGAAAGAAAGGACAAATGGATACCTTGGGCATTCTTCATCAATCATACTTCTGGAGTGTTCTTTAATCAAAATTATTTAAACCATGCAATTATGTTATTATCCAGGTGTTAAAAAACACATCCTAGGTTCTCATCTTCTCAGCTTTCCCTCTCTCACACAGATATGGAAACCCGGGGTGAGAGTGACACAAGGCCAGTGTTTAATATTCCACTCACTGGTGATCTCTAGAGTTACCTCATATTTCAATTAAACAGAGAACTAGCAAAGCAGTGAAAGACGAAATTATTAAATTGATGATGAAATGAAATCAAAATAGAAAGAAGGAAATGTTGTTGAATTCAAATAATACATTTTATGCCTTTTCTAGATATGCAAAATCTGTTCATATTTACAGTAGTCACAAGGGGATACTGTAGAAGCCGTTTCAAAGTGACACGTTACCCAGGGGCAGGGGAATCAAAGTTTCCCCTTAATTTAGAGATTTTTTAACCTCACAGGACAGGGTAAACTCTAGTTTGATTAACTTAAAATGATTGTCTGAAAGCTAAAGTAAAAGAGTTGTAGGGAGACGAGCACAATCGCGTTTGAAAAGCTCCAAGGAGAACTTCAAAAATAAATAAAAAAAAACATCTAAAAATAGCATTCAGGTATTGAGTTGCAGTGGCCATTCTACTGCTGACTGTCGATCATGACATACGACATACTGCTATTTCTAGTTCAGGAATTAACACGCATCTATTGTACATATCAAAGAACTGCATAAGTGAACTGGTTCGTGATCTGCACCCGACTTTCTTCACCACGGGGCCCCTCAATGCGCAAAAGAACATATTTTTAATCGGCACATTCAAACGAAAAGCGATGAATTCCCGATAGTGGCTGGTTTTGTTGCCGGTGTGGGTGATCCTAATGGAAGCCCAGTAAAAAAAACAAACAAACAACCAACAGTCACAATCGAGCCGGTAACAAGTTTCTGAAGCGCAAAAGAGAAGAGCGGGATAAGCGATCGGAACACCCAATTATGACCACACTGTAATAATGCTTTTGTATTTTATTTGGTTTTGAGTCTGTGCGAGCTGCGGAACTAGCAAATGGTAGACAAGCCACATATTGAAACGAAACATGTAGACTACGTGAGGTGTTTTGACTGGAAGTTACTCTAGGAAACTTAAAGGCGTTTCCCGCAATAGTACACAGGCCGTGTGGGTCGCCTGGCTAAAATTCGGTGTTGCCCCGTCAAACAAAAGCGTGAAAGCGAATGTACAGTTCTAAGACTGTTCAGCGATTGTACACAATCGGCATTAAAACATTGTTTGGTCTTGTTTTTTCCTTGCGGTCTCTAAAAGTATTTCATTAAATGGGGGAGGGGGGTATTGTGAACCCGACCTCTAGCCCTTCGGATAGCAGTCGCTCTCCCAGGGACAGCGGCAGGAGGAGCAGACGAGAGCTTTTCGGAGTCGGAGTTGATGAAAACATGAGGACAGCCCTGGCACAAGACTGGCCATCGTCAGCATCAGTCACGCAGTGGGTCGACTACTGTCGTATAAGGATGCAATTGAGGAATTTGCCTCTCGAAATCTAGGCGAATTGATTTATAGGAAGTTTTTTGTTAAACAGAACTTTCCCATCTACTCGGCTTCACTGATCTCAGCTCCCTTGTCAGTGAGTGCACTTATTACTCATTTCTATTTCTTTTTACAGTTTCAGTGCAGTGCTTTTTAAGCTACGATTTGCTATTATTTTGAAGTAACAGAGTAACCTGTTCTTCATTATTTATTGTTATTAATGTTCCTGTTTATGGCTTTAAATATTAAAATACATGGTATCCATGTAGAATTTGTGCTTCTTGTTTGTAACTTTATTATGTGTGCTTCAAAGCTGGAGAATACGTTTTCTGGTTACTCTGTATGATTAATTGAATTGTTCTCAATAGTAAAATAAAAGGTTGTGCTGGGAGCAGATGATAGTAGTGTACTGTACAGTATGTGCAAATCTTCATCTGGAGGGTCCTCTCTAGGGCCCCCAAAAAGCAAGGTCTGGCCGAGCCTCATAGTTTCAAGATTCAGGTAACCAATTGAAAACTTGACCGTCAAATTCAGAATATTAAGAAAACAACCAGTTGTCTTTCTGCTTTAAAAGATTCAGGACACGACAAAGCCTTGTATTGTGGACACTGCTGAACCAAATGTAGACTTTGTCAGTTCACTTGTTCCTCAAGACATCTGCTTCTTTAGTCTACTTACTGTACTGTATGTTCTGTCAAGGATGAAAGATGTGTTTTTTTTTTGTTCCTGTGCTAATTTACTTTAAATTATACTAAGATACTAGCAGCCAAATGAAGTCAGCAGGCAAAATAGGTTTTGAGTCATCTTTGAGCCAAGATTAAAAAAAAAAAACATAAAAACACCAATGACAAGGGTAAACTTCAAACATTTATAAAAGCATAGGGGGCTGTACCAATTAAATCCTCATTTACACCTCATCAGCACTCCCGCAGATAAAAGTGAAAGGCAAAAGTAAAGAGATCTGAAGGAAAAGAAAACAGCTCTTGAAAACAAAGAAACAGACATGCGACCCTGTCAGACCAGCTGATGTCACTGCGCTAGAATAGTTTATAATTGAAGGGACTGTATGTGTTGTTCAGACTTTCACACAGGAGCACTAAAAGAATTTAATTGCATTAGCTCTAGCTGATTACTTTTAAAGTGTGATTTGGCACTGTTTAAAACTGTAATTATTTATGGCAAGATTCAAATGTTAACACTGTTCAGAAATTATTGATGTAGCTTGTCTCAGATTTAGCAATTCAATCAGGGAATTTAATAAAATGCTTGAATAGTCACCTGATCAAAGATAATAGTTTTAGCACACAGAGCGCTTTTAGTTTAGCTAATTAGAAAAAACAAAACCCTAAGTGGAATAGCAAGAAACATAATAAAGTGTGACAATAGGGTTTGCAGATACTGTACTTTGTTTTTTTGGTCTATTCTATTGTTTTGTTTTGAACAAAGGCAGTTTTAGGGTGGAAGGTACAGTATGAAAATGCTGTCAAAGATTTTTAATTCTTTTACACAGGCTCTAAAGGCTTCTTATATTGTGCTATTTTAAACATGCCATTTACAATTTAATGTACCTCTCATAGGCTATACATCATCATCTTCACAGTAGGAGTAGTAATAAAAATGGTCTATTTTTCCGATGTCTCTAATGACAGTATCTCAAGGCATGGTACTGTAAAAGAAACCATAAGCAAAATGTTAATACACAATTTAGTACAATTAATTACATACTGTAGCATGAAATGTAAGTGCACAAAAAGTGTTTGACTGACCTCTATGATGTAACAATGGCTGGAAGATTATTCCACAGCCTTAGAGCAGCAGAAGAGAAAACATGGTCTTCCCAATGTTTGGGATCTACTGTACGTCTGGAAACATCATCCCTGGAAGAATCCAAACAGCACAAATGACAAGGACTGTGTAGTTAATAACAGTATTTTAAGAAGAAAGCTGAATCAGGACAAAAATGCATTCATTTTATTGTTAAACTATTACCTTAGCTTTGAACATATTGCAAGTAACATTAAGGTACACTAGGATGCAGAACATTATAGTAATGAAGTCTAGAATTATTGGATGCAAAGGATTGTTACAGGAAAAAAAAAGTCTTTCAGAAAAGTGAAAACATGATCTTCAGGGATCTTTCTGAACCAAGGCTGAAGTGGTTCATCCATCGTATCTGGAAATCGATGATCTTTTAACTGAATGGCAACAACCCATTTTTTGCTGTGCTTTTCTTTGTTTTTGCTATTTTATCACTTTTGAACTAGTTTGACGGATTTTGTTGTTGTACTCACCCAGTTTTCAATTCAGTAGATAGTTAGGGTAGATAATAATGAAAGCGATAGAGGGAAGACCTGTGTGGAGAGTATTTGGCATGACTGGACTACCTGAGGGAAAGTCAGCCTACAGTAGCTACAGTATGAGGATGGGGCTGCTGCCACCCCCTTGCCTAGTTCTTGTCATGCATTAATAAATATCTACTGTATATCTCCCCCTGTAGTTCAGCCATACATGGGTTTAAGGCGGTACAGCTCTTCTCAAATTCCATCTGAGTCACAGTATCTCACAGTACGAATTTTTATATCCACGCAAGTGCAACACAAAATACTTTTACATCTTATAATGCCAATGTCTGTTTTTTAACATTTTTGGCCATTTTACTAAATGTGTCTCTCCACCAATCCAACAGACAGGGACAGTCCTAAGTTCTACCATAATAATCCTGTATAGCAGGCAGGTGCTTTAACTACCTAAACTTTGGTGCTGCTAGAAATTAAATGTAGAACTGTTGACTCACCTACAGTATTACTTATTTATGCTCTCAAGATTTAGAGTGAGAGTAAACCATGATTGACAACTTTATTAATACATTTTGACAATGTTTCTTCAGTTTTTTAGCTTTTTTCAGCTATATCATGTAACATTTAAATAAGTGATAATTGCTACAGTATATGGTATCTGGCATCAATATACAGTATATAGTAGTGGAAATGCCAGAGAAAACTCCAAATGCAGTGACAGCATTTTTTGGCTAAACCAGACCAACCAATTCCATGGTTTCCTTTTTTCCATTTACAAATTGCAACTGGAATCATGATATGGCAAAAAGGGCAGTAGTGAACATGGAATATCCATATTCAGTAATATTTTTATTATAAGATTATAAATAAGATCTAATGTAAGATGGAGGTACAGTAATTTCACAGTCTTGTAGCAACAGAACAGAAAGCACAGCCTTCTATCTTTTGAAGTGTTGTTTTATTTTATACATAATTTATACTATCCCAAATATTACCCCCAGTTTAGAAATAGCTTCCTATGCAACATTCAAGTCCCTTGTCCTCATATTAACCACTGCTAAGGGTTTGCTTAAAGACTGCAAAAATAATTAAAGGAACCAAACTACTGTATGCAAAGTTGTAAAATGTTATTAGAGATTTACAAGCCATCTGATCACTTTTTTTCATCAGCAGAAGGCTGTTTTGACAGTGTTCTTTTATCAGACTTTTAAACTAAAATAGAAAGTGCAACATTTGAGTTTATGAGGTTTTATAGTTCATTTTGGCCTGTGCAGCTGCTATAAAATGGCATGCATTTAGTGTGCAAGTGTGGAGAACCTCTCAGCTTATACCTTTTATTCACATATTGAAACTCTGTTGTGTAAAGGTAAATACTGTGTACAGGTACTGTACCAATGCGAATGCTGTTTGCCATCAGGCCTTCAGTGCTCAGTGCTGCTCAGTCCACTGGCAGTGCTGAATGGAAAGATGATCTCATTCTCTGGAGCTGTAAATCTTTTTTTATTTGCTTGTGTAATCTTAATGTTGCCTGTACCATACCACCCTTTTGTTCCAGCATATTCATTTTTGTATTTATATTATTAATGTAATATGTAGTATGTACAGTATGTGTATTACATTTTTGTATTATATTTATACATTTGCACTGATAAATTTTGTACTTGAATTACGATTAGTGGAGTTTGTTTTACAGCTGTATACACCAGATTAGGTAAAGATTTGTGGTGTATAGAAATAGTGGTAATCAGCACAGAGAGATACAAATCTATTATGTAGTTCACTGTGGGATACTGCTAATCCTAGATCTGTTTTGAATATACTTGATTGCTACAATTCTGCGGTTTACAGCATTTAACCTTATTTCTCAAGCTTAAAGAGAATGCTAATGCTCTAGACAAAAAAGGCTATTGATCCATACAATGGTATAATTTAACTTAAATTAGTTGTAAGCTTTAAAAATGTATCTTATGTCCTGCTCAGATTGCTTTCTGGCTCGGCTCAGTAGTTCAGGATTGATGATCTGATGACTCAAATAGTAAGTCTGTCAGACAGGGATATTAGTATTACCTGAATGACTGGATGAAAAATAAGGCATATCTTTATCCCAGTAATAAGTCCTGCTGTGAATTGACACAGAAAATCTGCCTTACATTTAAACTTTTGGGTTTTATCAGGAAGAGTTTTACATCCTGGTCAGCTGAATACCTGACAACTGCATGACACATCTACCAAAGTATATGATGTGCCCAAGTACCATGGGGTCTGACTTCTGTGATGAATGAGAGTTACAGCCAGAGATCAGCACAAAATTATGACCTATAGTCTACCTGATACATTAAGGTTTTTGGAAGCTTATTGTTTATCACAGAAGTGAAAACCTGAGAATGAGAACAATCTTTAAATCAATAGGACATAATGGTACTGAGTTTAAAAAATGATTGACTTTTAGGTGACAGTTTTATATTTCCCTCCTGGGATCATGACTTTGTCGTGGTGAAGGTGCTTGAGTGCCCCAGGGAGCCTTAGAGCTAAGTTTTTGGGATATATGTGCTCCTTTTAGGGTTCTCCATGGCAAAGTGGTCTAAGCTGAGGGGCCAGACAAAGAATGATCCAAGCTAGACTCCCATACAGTATGGTTGCTTTAGACCACTGCGTGCGCCAGGTGGCTGGGCCACCCACATCACCCTGCCGGGCTCAGCCTGAGATGGTGATGTGGAGCCGTCACTTGGAACTGGCTCCTGGGACGTGGAATGTCACTTCTCTGGTGGGGAAAGAACCGAGGGTGTGGGAGGTTGAAATACTTATAGCCAGTCTTTCCCCTACACACAGAATTGGCTCTGGATCTAGACTTCTCAATCGGGAGTGATCTCTCTCTTGCTCTTGGGTTTCCCCTGTGTGACAGACCCTGGGCAGACGTGAGGATACTCATGGGTCCCTGACTGGGTGACGTTCAGTTGGAATTTGTCCCGGTGGACGATAGAGTTGCCTAAATGCAACTACAAGTTTCAGTGAGGAAAACTCTGACTGATATTTAATAATAATAATAATAATAATAATAATAATAATTGCTTACACTTATATAGCGCTATTCTGGACACTCCACTCCACGCGCTTTACAGGTAATGAGGATCCCCTCCACCCCCACCAGTGTGCAGCCCCACCTGGATGATGTGACGACAGCCATAGTGCGCCAGAACTCTCACCACACATCAGCTCTCAGTGGGGAGGAGAGCAGAGTGATGGAGCCAGTTCATAGATGGGGATTATTAGGAGGCCATGATTGGTAAGAGCCAATGGGAAATTTGGCCAGGACGCCACGGTTACACCCCTGCTCTTTTCGAGAAACGCCCTGGGATTTTTAATGACCACAGAGAGTCAGGACCTCGATTTTAGGTCTCATCCGAAGGACGGCACCTGTTTACAGTATAGTGCCCCCGTCACTCTACTGGGGCATTAGGACCCATGTGGACTGCAGTGTGAGCGCCCCCTGCTGGCCCCACTAACACCTCTTGCAGCAGCAACCTTAGTTTTCCCCAGGAGGTCTCCCATCCAGGTACTGACCAGGCTCACACCTGCTGAGCTTCAGCGGGCTGCCAGTTGTGAGTTGCAGGGTGATATGGCTGCTGGCTGTTTGTACTTATGAACCTAAAAACTGTTCAGAGTATTCAGCTTTCTTCGAGGTGGTGGGTGCAGTGACTCTAGTTCTGTTGGGGAATGACAGACCTGGAGTGGTGTGGCTGGGAGGAACAGCCTGCCTTATCTGAACCCAAGCCATACAGTAGGAGGAACAAAGCAGATCCTTACCTGTGATGTTTGATGAGGCGTGGGGAGGTTGCCATGCCTGTGCACATGTTTTGTTGACTTGGAGAAAGCCCACTACCTTCTATCCCAGGGTCTCCTGTGGGAGGTGCTGTGGTAGGATGGCGTGCTGGGGCCACTGGTCCCAACTTTGCGGAAACTTGGATTTGCTCCAATACAAAAACCCTGTTTAGATGTTAAGGAGAAAAGAAGCATTTTTGATGACAAAAAATAAGAGGCTATAACTATCGGAGAGGTTTTTGTCAAGCTTCGTGCCCTGGAAATGGATGATCTGGTAAATGAGATTGAGGACGTTTCTTGTCAAATGACATAATTCATTCTTAAATTGCTGACATGACTTCAAATATTCTGATGCAAGTTATAGAAGAGACTATCTATGTATCATGGAGTGCAGTCTGTTGGTTGTTTTTATTTGGTATGTACATAATAGTGCCATAGAAAAACATTTTCTCTTTTGTGAGCCTCTTCAGACATTCTTGAAAATAAAAAAATTATTTGCCAAGCAAGAGACTGATTAGAAAAAAATGCCTTGTATTTCTAATGGAGCACCATCTACGCTGGAGAGAACTCTGAATTGTCCTCCTTGGTGAAGAAAGAATCTCCACACATCATTGTGACTCACTGCTTCCTACACTGTCATGCACTTGCTCCTAAATCACTTCCAGAAACTCTGGAATGTCCTGTCAATCTTCAATACCACTGAGCCTTGAATTGAGGAACTGTTGATGTTCAAAATACAATCTGTAATAATTTGATTTTACATATACAATTATCCATCCATTAAACAACCTAAAAGAATTGTTGTATTATTCTTCTAATTTCTAATTGGAAGAAATATCTTTTTTGGGGAGGGGGTGCAGGACTACAATGTAAGGAATGTGGAACCTCTAAAAGGTTAAGAACCTCTACTCTACAATCATAGCATTTCTTTCAAAAAGGAATGCACCCTTTCTACTGTACCTCTTTGAGGTCCAAAACAAGTAAGCTGTATCATTCAGCATACTTCTGTCTCATATTTTGTTCACATTCATTCCGGTTCCAACCCACTTTGCCGCTGCCTCTTGGTTAACTCCTCTCTATGGTCAGGAGGCTACCTCTTAACCAAGTGTGTTCAGCCAGAATGTATTACACTGAAATACTTAATAAACACTCACAACGCATCTGATTCTAGGATGTCTTTATCACTTGTGAAATATCTTTGTTTTAAAGCCTTCTGATTTAACATAAAAAAACTCAGTCAACAAGTTTTCGGGATTTACAAGCAGAACACATAGTTGTACTTCTAAATATGAGTAATTGCTATAAAATCCTGATTTGTTCACTGTTGATACAGTAGAAAGCAATTTGTCTCCACTCTATATTAACCTTAAATGCCTGTCAAAAGCAGATTACAAAGTGAACAACTTAAATGTGTCCTGTCCAAGCCTTCTCTGTTTCATTACAGAAACTTGGCAGTGTTGAGGACCTGAATGTAAAATGGTTTTGAAGAATAATGACTGATTTAGTTTGAGTTTCAGTTTTCTGTAGTTTTATCAACCAACACATTTGTTATTCAACAGGAAATTGTATCCACATGTTGAATTTTTTTGGTTTATACAGTTGCCTAGAACATGCTTTCCCCTTATTGACCTTCAGTAGCTAAAGAATGGTCACGTGTTCAAGGAGTTGTGAAACAGTTGCTCTGCTGCTGTATTACTTTATGTACAGTATTTAATGTTAAGTTATCTGTTTTTTTTAAATTTGTCTGTATTGTATCACAAGCTCTTGTTTTATATAACCAACAAAAGAATGCACTAGATACAGTACCAGTAAGTGAAACCAATACTTTTTAACTGTGTCACGCCCTCTGCCGCCAGAGGGCGCTCCTTCTCTGTCCTGTCCCTAGTTTCCGGTCTGCTGTCCTTCCTGTCCCTCTCTTTCCCTTGGGCTATATATTTCCGGGTCTTGCACTCAGTCCTCGCTCAGCATTGACGTTCGGATGTCCTGAGACCCACCTAGTACCAGGGCGCCCCACGTCCGCTCCCTGAGGGCATAGGTTTCTATACGGCATTCCTGAACTCTTTGCACTAATGAGCCTGGGCCTTTTTCCCTGTCTCGCCGCTACGCATATGGGTCTTTTTCCGCTCTCCTGCTCCCCACGGTTAGTCCCTTTGGACGTCCGTGACAAACTGAAGTCATATACATTATGAAAGACCTTTCCAAAGTCATTTTGCAACTAGCTTCTCTACATTAGTTCACTACTGGTAATTGAATATTCCAATCTTAATTTAACAGACTCTTCTAAATACCTGTAACTTAATTGGAAAATCACTATTCCAATGCAATGCAGTTGTATAAGAACTCTGCTCCACATTCGCTAGGATGTTCTCATGTTAATGAAGTGCTTGAAATTTTATTTAAATTGTGTAATGATTGTAAGGCTATAAAACTATTTATAACATCAAAATTAATTTGATGAAGCAATTGAACATTTTTTTTTTAAATCGAATTACACACATTTTACAATTTTACAAAGGAGAATGGGTTTGTGATGGACAGGTGTCATCCTGGAAAGCACAGGATTGTTACACTGTCCCGGGAACATGGCATTTGTGTAAGTCACACGCACATTGAAACTACAGTGGCTAAGCATGAAAACCTGCAGAAAGTAATAACCAGCACAACAACTGAATATTTTTGTATGAAAATGATCTGCATGTTTAGAGGACACTCATGGGTAACGTACTGACAGTTGAGACATTACTTCGTCATCGTTTGGGGGCCGGGGAACATTTGAGCTGGTTGCAGTTGTGGAAGTGTGATGATGTTGGGAAGAAGCTTCCTTAACACAAGTGCAGTTGCTCAGCGATAGATTAGCGAAGGCCTTGACTCAACAGTTTTCCTGTTCCTGCAAGTGTTGAGGACAGACCTGTGTCAGTGTCGATTTAACAGGGCAGTGGAACACCACACGGCACTAGGATGACAACGGCATGACAACCAAATTGTCTTGCCATGGCCAGCGTTTTCTCTTAACCTGAGTCCCATGCAGCATTCAAAGATGTCGACAGGAGACAGCCATGCAGTAACTAGTCACCCTTTGACAGCTGGCTGCAGCTATACAGGAGGCGTGGAACAACACTACAATTAAAAGTCTTGTCAGGTCTTTGCACCAATGCTGCCAGGATCCTGGGAGGTCATTAATGACACTTAACTTGCGATGTTTTCACTTAGACATGTCGCATGAGAAAATTTGATCATGATGCATTTTTGCTCATATTACCTCTGGTTGCATTTGATGCCTGCTGAATGTTTAAAATATTTGTTTAAATTCACTAGACCAGTTAAACCTCTTGTGTGTATCAGTATATCATGGACCCTATTATCTTTTGTATTAATATTAACGAGAAGGTTTTCTTTATAAAAAATGCATGACTATTACTGGAATTAATATAACAACAGTCCTGATGCATAATTTACACTAATGCATGGTTTGCTCTTGTTTGATAACTGCATTTAAAAATCAATTACCATTAAAATCCAGACAAAATTCAAAGTATCTATTTTTAATCAAGCAAAAAAAAAGAAACCGAAGTGTTTGTCATTTTTGTATGGATATCTATAAAATATCCTTTGCAATTTAGAAATGATCCAGGACAACATGACAGACAGTATTTGGACAGCATCCAAACAAACTGCAGCCCATGTTACTTCATGGAAAGACGGAGTGGAAATGGTCAAGTGCTTTATTTTAGATGTGGAGTCCCATGAGGACAACAGGGTGATGAAAGTGGATACACTTATCTGAAAAAAGAGGTAACCTCAAATACATTTTGATTTGTATGAGAGAACACTGTATATTTCCATACATGGCAGAATGCTATAAATGTATTTCTTCCTGAATACAGTGCTGTTCTCTGAAGAGACTGAAATAAAAGAGAATAATTATTCTTCTTACAGCTGGATGTCAGTTACGGTGAGATGCTCAAAGAGCTTTGATCCGGAGCAGAATTTTCTCCTTACCTGTTGAAGGTAATTATAGAACAGTGAAAATGCCAATCAAGCTAGAAACAATACAGGTGTGACAAACAAACACACAGGTCAAAATAAATCATTTTCGAAATGCATGTGATTTTTTGGATCTCAAATATTTTGCAGACAGAAAAAGGTGAGCAGTGGCTTAACTTGAACTAAATGCTCTGAAAGTTGTACACTGTATTTACTGTACGTTTCTAGACAATAATACATTTATAAACTGTCAGTAAATTATTCAAATAACAATTCAAAGTTATCTTTTGCTCATTTTCTTATTCCCCTTGAGGTCCAGAAATGGGGTCAGAATTCTACAGTGCGGACTGGAGGATAGAAAGGGTGTGAAGGATCAAATGAAACCAAATAGCTAACAACATTTTTCAGCCAACTTTAGGCCACACAGAAGTCTGCTACTTTACGACCGAACTAATAAAAAAACTAAATTCCTATGCAGGTTTTGCAGATATTCCATTTTAAATTGTCAGATATCTGACTTGTCATCTATTATGACATTGTCTAAGCACTGTTATTAAAGTAATGAAATGATGGCAGTTGAAATGAAATGTCTACGAAAAAGACAACATTCAAATTACCTGCAGATGAAGACTTAAAGAAGAAGTTAACTTAGTTCAGAAGGAAAACTCCTGCAAGAAATGTTTATTAGTTTATTATTAATATATTTAGTTTTTAGAATTAAACTAGTGTTGGCAAGTACCCTGTACTCAGTAAGACAAAAAGAATTGAAACACTTAGTAAGGTTATTTTATAAAAAAGAAATATCTTTTTGGATGTCTTTATCTCGTAATGAATCGAATGACAGCAAGTCATTGCCTGCAGTGTGATGAAGAAGGATATAATTAAAAGTTCATTTCCAATGTCATTTCCAATTCCAATTGTGACATTTTGGCCCAAAAACAATAAATATTTCCCCGCCTGAAACAATCTTACACCACATATCTGGAACAGCAGGGCAACGTGGTGGTTAGTTTGGTTTTTTCTCACCATCATGGTCCTAGGTTCATATATGGACTGTGTGCAGTTTGCATGTCTTTCCTGTGTTCCTGTGGGTTTTCACTAGGAAATCTGGTTTCATCCCACTTCCAGGGAAGTTTTGATTGGCTGTTTAATAGTTTAATAGCCTCATAGGGTCCACATTC